AGAACTCAACTCGTAAGTGTTGAGGCCAACCTCTGCAAAAATCTCTCAAAAACACCCCTCAATAATTACCCCTCTCGGCCTTCCTCATTCACTGACGAAGGCACGCACAACCGCAGCCACTCAGCTCAGGCGCACGGCGATCCCCAGTGCATGCCATCGTCCGCGAGCAGCACCCTCCCGCCACCATCGTGCTTGTCCTGCCATCTCGCGAGCAACAACTACACAGTCGCGCCTCCGATCATGCCCACTCGCCGAGCCAAGCCTCTGTCCGTGCCATCCACGCCGAGGCCGAGCGCGAGCTGTCGAGGCCTTGATTCATTTGATCCAGTCCGATCCCTTAGTTGTAGATTCTCCATAGCCGGGTAATTAATCTGATCTCATCGTGGTTTAATTTATTCTTGGTGATTTATATAGATCCATAATGCTTGAGTTGGATATAATTCTCAAAATTTAAGATCTAATTAGGTTCGTCTTCAAAGACTAAGACTTAGCCGAGATCTCCCGTTGGTTAGTATAAAATGCCTCTTTGTTGAATCCGTGGATATTTGGAATTCCCTTGTGCCCTTTGTGTGAGTTTTGTGCCTTGATTTTGTTGGAAATGTTGGGAATTTTTTAGATTTGTTCAAGCCTCTTATTGCCTTCATTTTCGAAAAAATTGTAAAAATCATTGGTTGATGTTTTGGCCTTGAAACCCTTGTGCTGAGCCCTTTTAATTTATGCTAAAACCTGGTAAAAATTATATGTTCATTACCCGTGCTAAAACCTCAAATCCGAGCCTTAGTTGTTGGCGACCCGGCAGCCCCAGGCAGTGATGTGAGCAGCCCTGCAGCGGTCGTGCGCAAGGTCCTGCGTTGTGTGCCCATGTGTGCACCACTCGCAGTGGTCGCAGCATCGCCACGAATCAACAGCATGTGACACCGTGCACGAGTGGTCACAGCATCGCCAGTAATCAGCAGCATGTGACACCGCGCGCGTGATTCGCAGCACCGTGCGCCCCAAACACCTCAGACGTCTTGCCAGTGACCCCAGACATGCCAATTTCATCACCCGAAGTTTCTCGAGTCCCAGCAGCACGCAGCCCCGCGTCCCTGCGCACAGCAGCTGTGCCCTGTCGACCCACGAGTGCACCCCTGTGCCAGCATCAGCCCTAATGCGCCAAGATGAGCCCCTAGCGCTAGCCCGTGACCAGCATGAGCCCAACAGCGCTCGACGAGCCACCAGCAGCCGTGCCAGCAAGGTCTGCCCACGTCGCGCCAGTCCCCGCGAGCCCAAAACCCTTTTCTCGAGCCATTTGACTATTTTTCGAGCATTTAACCCTGTTTTCGTGCCAAACTCAATTTAGGTTTTTTTAAAATATTTTTTCAAGTTTTTCCTTAAACCCGAGAGTTCTAAATTTCACTAAAATTCTTCAAACTCCTTAATCATTAATTTTTGATTAAGTAAAGATTTCCGTTAAATTCTGAGTTATCGAGATAATTATTTATGAAAATTTATCTTGATTAATTGTAGGTTCCTGAGGAGTCGAGCCTTGAAACCTAACGAGCTGTTTTGGCGCTATATCCTGTCTTGTCGAGCAGGTGGGTGTTGATAAACTTTACTTTCTTTTATTCTATATAGTCGCTTGTTTTTATAATCGATGTATTCATGTGAACTACTAGTCTATGAGAGGATCTCCCGTCGATGGTTTATGCCGGTGGTTTTCTTATTATGTGCCTAGTGAGAGTTTCTCCCGCCGATGGGTTATGCCGGTGGTTTGGCTCCCGTCGATGGGTTATGCCGACGGTAAAGGTGTGTACACATGAGGGTAAGGCCGTATAGGAGGTAGCTGTGGTGATTTGTGTTCATGTTGAGATTAAGTCTACAGTTATTATATTGAATATATTGCATGGTAATTCCCTTGGTGAGCTTGTGTTTGCTC